GCAGTGACCATTTCTTCTTGGATTATGGGGGCTTCATTCTGCTCCTTGTCTTCCACCTCTGGGGGCTGGGTACCCTGAGAATAACTGGTCTTGCTATTAAAACTGAGGCAAAGAAGGCATTAAGTACCTCAGGCTTTATCACAACATTTCTCCCTACATTCAATAAGGGGTAGAGACTGTCCTTAGTCCTCCTTTTGTTGTTAATGTATTTGTAGAAACACTTTTTATTGCCTTTTAAAGCAGTAGCCAAATTAGGTTCTAGTTTGGCTTTGGCCCTCCTCGTTTTCTCCCTGCGTAGCCTCATGACATCCTTGTAGTCCTGCTGTGTATGTCACCCTCTCATTTATGACATCCTTCCTAGTTATACTTTTTACCTTTAATAAGTTTCTGCCTACTGATATGTCAGAAATATTTTATCCATTGTACTCTCAGATTCATCATCTTCCAGCTGTAGAGCTCCCTCACCACTGGTACAATGTTTTTTCTGCTGGTACAGCATGTCAGCCACATTAGTAGTTATTATTATTAGCATTGTTTAATGGCTAAGGGTTGTTCAGAAAAGCCTATTAAGAAGATGGAGGCCCTAGTGTCACAGAGGAACATTTCAGAAAGTTCTGATGCTTTGTTTTCACCTAGGCCCAGCCTTTGATATATGTCACAATGGCAGAGTCATGTACCTTCATGACTAAGTTGTAGCCACCAGAAGGGGAACAGAAACTCTTCCATAAAACACTTCTACTCCAAAGGTCTCAAAAGTCACCAGAAGAAAGGAACCACAAACGAAGCAAATACAGGCATGGAGATGAGCAATCAATCCTTCAACTTTTAAAATCACAAGTGATACAACTTAAACTGCAACAGGAGCCAGGACCACAATGACAGTGCATGCTTGTGCTGCTCTCTGTAGATGCAGTGAAGCTGCCCTGCTAACAGCAATTTCTGACAGTAGCTTCAGAGACACAGATAGGTCAGATACTGTGTCCTCCACTCACGAAGTCAAATGTGGCTCCACCCAGTAGCTCCCAGCAGCCATGGGCTCCCATCTGTTTTGGCCTGTGTGCCCTACTCCATGGCTGCGTACTCAGCATTTCTTTTCCTCCTCTCTTGGAGATCTTCTCCCAGCTGCACTCTCTTCCCAGGGCCTCCTCAGAAATCTGCCACTTCCTTCTCCCTTCCATGCTCTGAAACCCTCTTGTTAGCTGGAGGAACACCACAGGGAGGGAGACCAAAGGCCATTAAGTAGTAGTGCTTAATGGAAAAAAAATACGAATAAATGCCAGTGGTTAGGAAGCAACTTCTGCCTAAGCAAACAACATTCTTTGCCGAATGTGCTTCAAATATTCTCACCCTTGCCTTCCTTTACTCATGGGAGATCCCTCTCCATTAGAATCTAGCAGGTAAGATAGAAGAAGAGGCTGTAATTATTACAGAGAGCCCTCCTTTGCTCTGTTCCAAAGTACAAGTAAACACACACTAGGGCTCAAGTGTTATCAAACTCTGATGACACAGAAAGGATAGATTCATGATGGTACTTATTCAAAGCACCAAATTTAGAGTTACTACTTGTCTATGAAATAATGGCAAATATCATCAAGCCAAGAACCCAAAAAGCTACAGTGTATAAGAAATACTTAGATCAAACCTAAACAGAAAGTTAAGTGAAAAATGTCACAATCAAATACAGCTGAAAATTTGCTTCACTATGAGCTTTTAGTAAGGTTGATCTTGGTATCACCACACTCAAATCTTGTGACTCAAAAAAAGATGAATTTTGCTCATAATTTAACTGGCAATAACATATCATCCTATTTATGGGAAAAACAAGAAGATCTGAATGCCTGGATGCTTGGTGAATCCCACTGTAAAAATCTGTATTGTAGAACAGTAATAACACATAAGTAAAGCAAATTAAGAATCATCTGACCAAGGGAGCTCAAAACAAAGTAACCAGAGAGAAATGACTGCTGATTGGAAAGGCTCCTGAGAGGGTTTATGGGTTTATCCTATCTGCTCACAATAAATAAAAAAATCACTGCAAAATAAATTTGCAGAAAGCCAGGGGTTAGTACGAATGCCAAACGAGGACAACAACAAGTCACAAGGACCCATGTGGTATATGCTAGTAAAAAGGTATACCTCAAAGGTAAGGAAAAGACAAATAAAAGTGACTCAAAGTTGTATTTTATACTTTCCTGTTTTGAGAATATATCTGTTATTCATAAATTTGGAGCTGAACAGAATGGACAGGCATCTTCATGAGAAAAATAAGGAATTCCAGATAAGGAAAATACTGTCCTTGATACAGATGCAAAACTAAAATTACTGAAAAAAGTAACTGAAGGAAGAACTAAGCACTAAAGGAAGGAATCAGTAAGTCTGCACAGTACAGAGAAAAACTTAGAATACAAACTAAGATTCAATGTCTCAAAAAAAATGTTTGTTAATTAATCTCTTCTATGCATATAAGACACTGACTTCATCTTTTGGTAGTCCAGATCTTGAAAGGCAAGACACAAAAAAAAAAGTCAGTGAAAATTTAAATGTTTTGATCAGAAAAATAGGCTTAACTTCTATATGGTAAAAGTATTCTGAAAGAAATCAAAAAGTGCAAAAAGCTGCTGGAAAAGTGAATATTACTTAGTCTCTGAAGGCTTATACTACCAGGCTCTGAAAGCACTGTGTGGTATTGCATTTTTTGTGCCTGCAGTGTCTGTGAATGCTATGCTTTTGTTCAGTGTAAGTCTAGGATAAAAGATAAAGCTGAGTTTTTAGAAGCAGCTTAAATTGTTAAGTGTTTTGCTTCAGCACAGATGATACTAGTGAGTTGAAAATACCACAAGAATAATTCCGATAGTCTCCAACTGTGACAAATCTTTGGAAACCCACGCTAACAGGAATCAAGCTCTGGACAGTCAAGTAAATGTACTGGGAAAATATCTGCAGAAAATATCTTGATTTTGAGGTTTTTCTAACTCTAGCAAAAGCTGAATTTTCATCTCTTTCTCTAAAGATAACTTTATACATACCCAGAACAAAAATTTAATTTTTGATTCAATACTTAAACGAGAACATGCTTTGTTCTATGAAATATAAATATATGTAGTTTATCTAATTTAGAGAATGCTTGTTGAGAATCTTGGTTTTCAAGAATGAACTTTCTAGTGGATAGCCGAAAGTTTGGCACAGATGCAACTGCATGAAATTTTATACCCTGAGATACCAATATGGCCAGTTGAAACTACTGGGATTTTTCTGTCATTGAAAATCTATCCACTGATGATTCCAGGACTGCCTTTTTTCAAAAATTTCATTTTTGTGAGCTATCACTAGATGTTTATTTTTGCTGGTTTACTCAGAACACTTTAAAGCAGGAATCTTTATTTTTTCACCTGTTCACTTGTGTATTCTGAAGAATGCTTTTCTTGCCACTTCAATTTATAAAAGCAACAAAAAAGCAAACAAAGCAATTCTTCCTACCTAAAATTTAACCCACTGCATTCTGCTTTCTAACAGGCCTTTGAGACATAGCTTGAGTAAACTTTACAAGGTGCAGGAACATTTAACAATGCTTTTGCAAGACTAAAGGATTGTTAAAAGAAGAAAATCTCAAGAGTTTGGTAATCTTGAATACAAGGACAAACTAAGGACATGTTTACATAGTGACTTTTGTTTTGCAAAAGTATAAAAAGAGTGTCAGTCCAAGGCAACACAGCTAAACAAACCTACAATTTATCTGATAATTGAAATAAATGGATTATTAGATTAAAATCATCTTGAACTGTGCATATAAGGAAATCTCTAAATACTCTTAAAAAAAAAAAGTAGAATTTAGGCTGTAACAACTTACTTTTAATTATTATTTCTAGTCTATCTTCAAAATTTTGATAAAGTATTATTTCAGAATTATTTTTAAAAGCCACGGTGTAAGCAAGTAACTTCTGCTTGCAAACAAAGCCACCACATGTTAATAGGGAGTGCTTGCACAAAACCAGAGCTACTTCATCCAGTAGAAGAGTCATCTTAGACTGACATGAAGGAAAAAACCATCTCACTCATGTTCTCGATGGCATATACTTGCAGTACTGAACTGACAATGTTGATTACTTAGGATTATTTATATCAATTTTGAAAAAAAAACAGTTTACTAAATGTAAGCTTTTTTAAAGTCTGCTATTTAATATGCATAATTAGAGTTTCAGTAACTGATCATACATGTGAGATACAGAGCCATAAATAAATCACGTGAACTATTTCAGTCACCAGGGTTACAAGTCCTTCAAAGCTCACACTATAATAATTTTGCCTTCACTCCAATAGCAAAACTAGAGTCAAAAATGTGGGTTTATTTATCTCTTATATTTGAAAGTGTGTATGGTTTCCTCCATGCAGGCAGGTTCCATTATTTTGGATTTTAGTGACAAGTTCTTATAACTCAAGACAAAAAAAGAAACTGGAATTGGACAATGCAAAGCTATTACCTTAATGCATGTCATACTTGGACTCCTACAGTATATCTGACCATCGGATTATCTTTAAAACACGAGAGTTCTATCAAAAGACATAAAATAACAATAGAGGAGCACACACAGGATATCAGTGATTCACTAAGAGCAGCATTCTTTTTCAGTTTTTCACAGTATTAACTGGACGACACTACACCTATAGAAGAGTTATCATTCTCAAGAAAAAGCACCAGTCCGTAGCAAAAAAAAGTGTCATTTGAAAGGCACAGACCGAAGAGGAAGGAAAATGGCTTACATAAATCACACTAAGCTTTTTATGATGCTTAGAAGTAGCATAATTTTAGAGAGTTGACCCCTCATAATTGATTGCTTACTGCCAGCAGTACTCAAGAAAACATCTTAACCTTAACTCTACTTCAGTGCTTTATGCTTCACAACCTCCATGCTGCTTCAGCCGTTCCCTCCTCTGCCTGATCTTCAGCTACATTTGTATTGCCCTATCTATAGTGCACCAACAGCAGTGCAAACACTACTTACAGGAATCATCCAGTTGGCCAGGTCACCGTACTTAGACACCTGCATAGCTCCAAGCATTGTCAAGTCAACGTGGCCCCTGGCAACAGCAAGGGTGTAATTAGCATATCACGTTCCAGTAACAGCCCACAAATTTTAACAAGCTTTTGCTCACATTCTCATTACATTGGTATAAAAATGGTGGCATACCACAGAGGTAGCAACCATTTTGTCACATACGTGGCTGGGTTTTTTTTCCCCCCTTTAGATTGGTGCTGCAAATTTTTCTGCCTGCCTACTGAGTCTCAAAAATGTTACTACTTTTGTCTGGTTCTGGTTTTGGTTAACTGCATGCACAGTCAATCAGCTCTGGACTCATATTCTTAAGTGCACTCCTGCACATATTTACATACACTCATCATATTTTCAGAGCCATCAGGATTTAGTATCTGTTCGCATCCGACCTCCTTTCCGAAAAACAAACAAAGAACAGGTGCAGACAGTGAATTTCCATTAGGGAGGTGGAATGAGGATCACAGTTGCAAGCTGAGCATAAAGAATATACAGAGTGCAAGTATAGATTAGATACTTGGAAATGACCAAAATATAGTTGTTAAAATATAGTTATAAATCTGTTTATATATGGCCAGGTGTTGGTAGAAATGATCATTATGCTATCTGTTACTTACAGTATTTTTCTATTTCCAATAGTTAGACTTAATCTTCTGTAAGCCATTAGTGACCAAGTTCATGATCATTTTACAGGTTATTAAATGTTAACCACATTTCAAAGAATTACTAATGAGTTCAGTAACGGACTCAGTTTTTTCTTTTCACATTTTAAAAGATCAGGGTTTGTGTTGTTACATACCCTCTTATCATTGCAAATGATTCATCGCTAGAGAAATAGGAAGAACCTGGAAGAACAGTGACTGTTTCCTTACCTGTAAGAGAAATAAGCTATGGTATGTACTTTGTATGTCTCTTTCACAAATGAAGTCCTAGCTACTAACAAAGAAATAACTTACCAAGTTCCCTTGGATTTAGTAGAGCTACGGACCCGATTAAATTTACTATGTCACATGTAAAACTAATTAATCATAATGAATTGTGAAGCAGTTTGTTACAGTTCTTATCAATCTGGTTGCCCACTCTTTGACTTCAGCTTTCTGCTCTATGCACAGGAAAAGTGAGAGGTAACTCTCTTTCAAAACAGAGAAAGAGCATCTTCAGGAGCCAGAGAGGTTGCAAGGAAGAGTGAGCAGATTAGATGGAACAGTCTGCTTTGTTAAAACGCACAAGAAAACGCGCTTCTGTGTGTTGTACTGTTCTCTGCGCAGTGCTTGAATCAAGCAATGGAACACTCATGGAAGTGTCTTATTTTAACTTTATCCAGAGCCCTCTCTTTCCTTTCCTCTCCTGCCAGCACTCTGCATCTGTTTAAGCAACAACCATGTATATACAGGATACCTCTGGAAAGGCTTAAGAAACTCAGCCAAAGGAGAAATCATAAACCAAGCATTGCAAACTTGAAAGGAAAAAAAAAAAAAAGAGAAGAAAATACTTTTAACACCAGATGACATTGTGAAGAAAAAGTTAGTGTAACAACAAAGGGGAAAAGGAATGAGACATCATTAAACAGCTTCCAGAAAACAGGGAAGTAGAGACTATGAGATTAACTAAGAGGATGGGAAAAGGGAAGGGAACCCTGTAAGAAAGTTAAAATAGAGACCTATTTTAATCTGTCAAGTCTACTTGATTTATATGATATGCCAAGACTTTGTATGGAAATTAAATTTTAACACACAAAATAGCATTGAATTAAGGTCACACAAGTGGTCTTCCAGTCAGAACACATGAATTCACCATGCAGACATTCAGACCAGCTGTGAGACTGCCTGAATTATCTTGCCCTAACAGGCAACCACCCAAAGCAGTGGGAGAAACAGCAAGAGCTGCAAGCAGCAACATGGAGCAAGAACCCTGGGGTAAAGTGACATGCTAAGGCACTGCTCAGAACAAAGAGACAAGGGCTGAGGACCACAAAATAATGCAATAAGAGCACTTGTTAACGTGTTCATTTCTAGTGCACTCATATTAAAACTTAAGCTTTAATGTGTTTGCATATAATTTTACTTTTTATAGTAAATGGGTTTTATCCTAAATAACTTTTTTCCTTCCAGTGACAGTTTCAATATTTAAAAAAAAATCCAACACCTCAATTTCAGTTCAAGCATTAACACAGCTTTCATACACCTCTGACATTTTCCTTCAGAGTGTATCACAACAGTTACCTAGCTACTGGTGAAATGCTGGACTTTATTTTTTTAGTAATTTATTACTTCAAACTAGAAAGTGGCCTTAAATAACTCCTTATTTAAAATATAATACTGAAACAGAGGCAATAACATAGCAGTATGACAACAGTATCAATTAGTTAAGCCAGGTAGTGAATGTTTCAAGTCAGTATACAATTGCTGCACTGCCCCCTGATATTAAATTAAAAGCTTGTTTGATGTCAGTGCTTTATCTTCTTTGACTTTTCAGAATTTAATTGTACCTGCTAACAGCCACTGAGAAAGGTACTTTCTATACAGATATGTACATACACACCCATACATATAAATACAGCCTGGGCAGTGCTGGGTTGATGATGACTCAATGATCTTTAAGGTTTTTTCCAACCTAAATGATTCTGTGATTCTCTATATATGGATGTTTATGTAAGTATAAATTAAAAATACACAGGTTTTCTGTATGAAAAAACACGATGTCAGCTATGGGTCTTTAATTTATACCATTAACATCGTTGAGAATTTATAAGGTGCCAAGGCTACTTCTGTTTGTCACAGTGCAATATACAGATATAATTTTACATGGAAACATAGAACGGACAGAGGCACAGCTCTCCACAAAGAAAACAGAAATCAGACAGATGCATGAAAACATGAAAAGCTTAAGTTTTACACTGCATGGCTGCTTCTGAGGTGAAATGCTTCAAAATCGCTGGTCAAAAACAGTAAGTGAGGACTGGCATTACCCCTCTGAAGTGGCAAAAGCAGCTGCCTGCAGCAGAGCCCTGCAGTGTTTGGGGGGCT